GAAGGAAGGAAGGAAGGAAGGAAGGAAGGAAGGAAGGAAGGAAGGAAAGAGCAATAGCAATAGTACAGACTTATATACAGCTTTGCAGCCCTCTCTAAGTGGCTTACAGAGTCAGCCTCTTGCCAACAATCTGGGTCCTCATTTTACTGACCTCGGAAAGATGGAAGATTGAGTCAATCTTGAACCAGTCAGGATTGAACTGCTGACAGTGGGCAGAATTCACCTGCAATACTGCATTCTAATTCTGTGCACTATGGATGGATGGATGAATGAATGAATGGATGGATGGATGGAAAGAAGAAATGGAAGAACAATAGCAATAGCACTTAGACTTATATACTGCTTTGCAGCCCTCTCTAAGCGGTTTACAGAGCCAGCCTCTTGCCCCCAACAATCTGGGTCCTCATTTTACCCACCTCGGAAGGATGGAAGGCTGAGTCAACCTTGAGCCTGGTGAGATTCAATCTGCCAAATTACAGGCAGCCGGCAGGCAGGCAGAAGTAGCCTGCAGTACTGCGCTCTAACCACTGCACCACCACAGCTCCTGCAATGAAAGCATTTTGAAACGGTGCCTTCAGGAGGTGCCTCCGTTCTTTGGTTTGTGGCCGATGGACCCCAAAAAGTTCTGCCTTGCTTGATTTATTTCCCAGCGAATGATTAGCAGTCCAGAAAAAAGGACTTGAAAGGCAGAACGGTGTTTCTGCTACATTAAATCAGCCACTGAACCCAAAAGCATCAACGATGCATTGCCAAGGTATTTCTTTAATTAGCCATAAAGTTAATTGGTCAGGCTTTCAGGGGAAGAGAAGCGGGGAAAGAGACCAATCCAGAACATAGCAAATCTTTACAAGAAAACCTGCTTTGGGCAAAAATTATCCCCGGGATTGCAAATAAATGGATCTTGACATATTTACACACCCATAGAGCAAAATGGTGCAAAAAGTTGCAAGGCTCACATCATCCCTGGGATCAGAGGGAGGAATCTGATCCCAGGAAAATTTCAGGTTGTCTGTGTTTTACCGACTGCCTTGCACAGCAACCCTTAATAGTGATGGGAGGTGAAAAAAGTTAACTTTGCCACCAGTCCTCGCGCCGATGACCTTCGCAGGTCCGCCAAGCAAAGCAAAGTGGAAGGAAGATGGTAAGCACAGTTGGGATTAACAGATTAACAGAATGAGAAGGGACCTTGTAGGTCATCTAGTCCAACCCCTCACCCAAGCAGGAGACCCTACACCATTTCTGATAAATGGCAGTCCAGTTTCTTCTTGAAAGCCTCCAGGGATGAAGCTCCCACAACTTCCGAAGGCAACTTCTGTTCCATTGGTTGATTGTTCTCACTGTCAGAAAATTTCTCTTTATTTCCAGGTTGAATGTCTCCTTGGTCCTTGATTTCCACCCATTATTCCTTGTCTGGCCTTCAGGTGCCTTGGAAAATATCTTGACCACCCTCCTCTCTGTGGCAGCCCCTCGAATACTGCTCTCCTGTCTCCCCTGGTCCTTCTCTTCCCTAGACCAGCCAGGCCCAGTTCCTGCAACCGTTCATCGTATGTTTTATCCTCCAGTCCCCTAAGCTGTGTTTGGGTTTCATTTCACTAAACAACCAAATGGCCACTCTCGTTGTGGTTGCTAAACAAGGATGAAAAAAAAAAAGACTGAATTTGGAGAGAAAATAAGGAGACGAACCTTTTTTTGAAGTTTATTTACACAGGGTCACATCACAAGGTTTTTGTAAACAAGTTTAAAGGAAGATACTTGATATTTTTAAAAGAGAAGAGAAGGTCGGCCTGCCTTCCCTGCTTAAGAATTAAAGAGCAATTCTCAGGATTTTTTTTTTTTAAAAAAACAGGCAAAGTTTCTTCCCTCTGAACTCTAAAATTCAGTGCAAAGAGTTGGATAAAAGGGTTGCCGAGTCAAGGTTGTGGCCGAGACAACTTGGAAAACACGAGTGGATGAGAAATTGAGAACTTTACCTGAATATTCATCTCTGATTTCAACCCATATGTCATTAAAAAAAAAACCAAGGAAGGAAGGAAGGAAGGAAGGAAGGAAGGAAGGAAGGAAGGAAGGAAGGAAGGAATATAGGGAGGGAGGAAAGGAAGGGAGGAAAGAAGAAATATAGGGAGGGTGGGAGGGAGGGAGGAAAAAGAGGGAGGAGGAAGAGGAAGGAAGGAAAGAAAGAATATAGGGAGGGAGGGAAGGAGGAAGGAAGCAAAAAGAGGGAGGAGAAAGAGGAAGGAAAGAATATAGGGAGGGAGGGAGGGGTCAGGAAACAGGCAAAAATATCACACCAAACACAGTTTCACACTCCCAAATAAAACCAAACCAAACATCTCCCAAAACCTACAGTAGCTTAAAAATATGCTTTATTTCATCCCTGTCTAACTAGACCTCTTCATACTTTGGACTAAAAGACCTATGATCCCCAGCCATAATGCCAGAGTCGTTGGTAGAGCTTCGGAGTCCTACCCCTGTGGACTTCCGGTGTGTTCATATGTGTGTGAGAGAGAAGTTTCGATGCACAGCCACTCAACAAACCTGACTTTGATGTCCGCACCTTTTACCTAGGAACCTCCGAAAGGCGTCCAAGGGGAGAAAGTAATCATTTCCAAGGCAGGATCTGACGTGATCTCGCGAAGGCACTCCGCGTTGCGCGGTTCTGTCCGTCCATCTGTCACGCTGGAAGGGAAGTTGAAACGCTTCTCGGGTTCATTGTTTCGGGTTTTCAGATGCGACTTTGTGGCTTGAGCAGACGGGTTGGGGAAAAACAGCATCGGAGAAACCTGGACACCTTTGATCCTATCCGGCCTACATCACAGGACGCAGCCTGTAAAAATTAGTTTGCTAGTATAAGGCACTCTCTGCTTTAGCGGGCGGGGGGTTGGGGAGGGGGTTTAAAAGCAGGGAGGGTGGGGGGGCCAACCTAGAAGTCAAAATCATGCAAGTCAAAATAAAAACGGGTCAGCCCCATCTCCTGATCCTCTCGGACTTCCGTTTGTCTTCCGTTTACGGTCCCCCGTCAAGTCCGTCCGGCGTTAGTCCTTGACTTCTGGCGGTCGTATTTGACTGACACAATGAGGAAAAGCAGCAGGGTGACCCCCTGGATCACCGCCAGGAGGAAGAAGTAGTAGTTTAAATGGCAACCGTTGATGTTACCTGCCAGGAAAAAAAGTGAGAAGACGGGCTAAGCAGTGGACCCGAGAACGGGAATGAAGCAAATATATTCCTTTTTAGTCTGTGGATGGAGCCAGGGAAGTTAGGACGTGTCCTAAAAGGGTATGATTTAAGGTGAAAGTCGGGACTCACCTAAGTAAGGTGTACAGCTATGAGGAAAGAAAGAAAAAAGGAGAGGAGAGGAGAGGGAAAGAAAAAGAAAGAGGAAGAGAAAGAGAAAGAGAAGGAAAGGAAATGAAGGGGAAGGGAGGAAGGTAGGTAGGTAGGTAGGAAGGAAGGAAGGAAAGAAAGAAAGAAAGAAAGAAAGAAAGAAAGAAAGAAAGAAAGAAAGAAGGAAGGAAGGAAGGAAGGAAGGAAGGAAGGAAGGAAGGAAGGAAGGAAGGAAGGAA